GTTTGGGGGGCATTATGGGCTGTAACTTTCCATCCTGAAGAAGCATTTCCGAAGCATTTTCGGCTCAAATAGGGAATCCTGCCTATCAGAGATGTTGGTAGATGGTCTACCATTGTTTGGGTTGGTACAGGAATGGTGGACATCAGTTGGGGATGTCTCAATTTCATTTAAATATAAGGAAAATGTTCTGTGAAGATAGGGGTCTTCTCTTCTCTGGTGGTTTTCAAGAAAGGCTAGATCGTGGTTGTCCTGCATATCGTGAAGGGTTCAACTACACGATCCTTGCGTCTTTTTCCAACTCTGCAGATCGTTCCTTCCTTCATCCATCCATTCATCTCTGTTCAGTGGAGATGGTCGATGGTCTACAGCTCCTTTCCCTTGCTACCTAACCAGAAAGATTGGGTATCGGTTGTGGGTACTTCTAGTGTTCTGAATTCTATGCTGCCTCAGTTTCTTTTAAATGCAAGGGAAACATTCCTGGTAGCAAGAGTCCACCTGTGGAGGTGGTGGCTTCCCACCTCTGGTGGCTTTCAAGACAAAGCTGGAGAACCACCTCTCGGTGACTGTTTCACTGGTGGTCCTGCACGTAGCAAAGGGCTCAGCTAGATGATAATTGAGGTTCTTTCCGACTCTGTGGCTCTTTCGGAATCACAGAGTTGGAAGGGGGCTTGGAGGTCGTCTAGTCCACCCCCCTGCTCCAGCATTTCAGACAAGTGGTTGTCCTATCTCTTCTTAAAACTCCCCAGTGGTTCCTTTCCTTTCCTTCCTTCACTTCACTTCACTTTCCTCCTCTTCCTTCCTTCCTTCCTTCCTTCCTTCCTTCCTTCCTTCCTTCCTTCCTTCCTTTCTTCCTCCCTCCCTTCCTCCCTCCCTCCCTCCTTCCCCTCTTCTCTCCTCCCTTCCTTTCCTCTATCCCCATCTTCCTTCCTTCCTTCCTTCCTTCCTTCCTTCCTTCCTTCCTTCCTTCCTTCCTTCTTTCCTTCCTTCCTTCCTTCGTCCTCCCTCCCCTTCCTTCCTTCCTTCCTTCCTTCCTTCCTTCCTTCCTTCCTTCCTTCCTTCCTTCCTTCCTTCCTTCTCCAACCCCTCCTCTTGAAAACCTCCTGTGATGGAGCACCCACAACCTCTGGAGGCAAGTCGTTCCGCTGATTAATTGCAGGAAATTTCTCCTTATTGCTAGGGCGAGGATGTCGCTTTTTCTTCTCCGGAAAAATATGAGTCGGCTTGGAGAGATTTCAGGATGTCTTCTCAGCCTGGGAAACCTTTCCAAAACATTTCCTTTCCTTTATTCTTCGGTGGCTGTTTATTGAGATCCCCAGATGTAGCAAAGGGCCTCCGTGACAGGCTTTCAAAGGGAGGACCAGTGGGAGAACTTTAACCTGGGTGGGGGGGGAAATTGTTTTAAGGGGAGGGTGTTGCCTCCCCAAACCTCAACTTTTTTGCATTGTGTTATTTTTAAGCCGAGAAGTTGGAAGCGCTTTTTGGATTTTTACCCAAACAGCTGGTTTCTTTATGAGTTTGAGCTGAATGGAAGCGAAGAGAGGAAGGAGAGAGAGAGAAAAAAACCCTTAGCATCAAACGGAAGTGGCCCCCGCCTAGCCTGGTTGGCACCGACACGCAACAGCTGTCTCTTTTTGGATTGTTTTGTGTATTTGAGGCGAGGAATTACTTAAGGATAAGCTGTGACTTTTTTAAAAAAACAAAAAAAACCCAGGACTTTGGAGTTTTAGCGAGAAACTTTCCTTGTTGGCTTTAACGGGTTACAAGTTTTTTTAAAAAATTTAAGTGCAGTTGGGAAAGTTTTGCATAGCAACTGTGGGTCTCTCTGAAACGTCACAGAGTTTTCTTAGTCCCGGTGGCAGAGATTTTATTTGGCTAAAAGAATGTTTATCTTAGATCACTTTTCCAGGGTGTCCAGAGCAGAGTACCACAGCGGTAAGCAAGAGGATGGACCCTGGGAATTATATGCAGGCAGTCCTCATCTTACAACGAGCGGCAGGGTGGTGAGGACACTCTCCTCCCACTCGGAAAGTTGAGAGCTGAATTCTAGGCAGTGGCAGATGTTTCTCTCTCCTAGGGCGCAAAGAAGAAAAAAAAATATCTGCTCTGAACTCTTGTGTAGGCATCAGGAAGGGCATCCAGCCAGTAAATGCTCAGTCACTGAAAGCTTTCAAGAAGAAATTAGAACAGCCATTTGTCCAGAATGGTATAGGGTCTCCTGTTTGAGCAAGGGGTTGGACTAGTAGACCTCCAAGGTCCCTCCCAACTCTGTTATCCTGTTACATAGGAGATGATTAGAGCCTATCCATTGCACCACCCTATGGCGAGACCATTCCATTGAAAGCTTGCTGTGAAGTTGTAGGAGAAGAAGAGGCAGACCTTGGTGGAGTCAAGAGAGGAACCAGTCCAGAATCATTAAGTTCCCACAAGGGATCCAGGTCCAGACCCCCCCCTGGAATCCTGTTAACTCTTATCTAGCACCAATTTAGTGCTGACCACGAGTTGACTTGTGTAGAGGCACGGATTGTGTAGAGGCACGGATGACATATCATCTTATCTGGAACTCAGTGTGTGGTCCAGATTCTTCCTGTCTGGCAGATGTTTAGAGCAAGGTCTTTTGAGAGCTGTTGCATTTATGCAACCTTCTGCTGATGCATCATCGGCGGAGCTATTTTTGGCTCTGATTTGTGGCAGAACCCTTGGCGATGACCACATGTTTTGGAGGGATCAGCCTCAACGCTGACCTTTCTGCTCTGTTTCTAGTGTCTTTCCTTCCTCCGAAATCTCTTGTTTTCATTCAAAAAAGAAAAAAAGAAAAAAAAGGCAGTGGGCCTTTTTATTTCTTTAGGTTGCAGATTTCTCCAGAAGTCTTCTCTGAAGACATTCCTTGGGGGAAGTATGACTGATCAGCTCCTTGACCTTCTCTGTCTCTCTTCTTCTCTCCTTGCTGCTCTCCAACTAAGGCAGCGGTTCTCAACCTATGGGTCGTGACCCCATTTGGGGTCGATCGACCATTTCATGGGGGTCGCCAAGCAAGGCTGTCCGCCATTTTTTTTCCCCTTTTCCGGCGGGTGCCTTACCTCCCTTGGGCTGGGCCAGCTGGTGGTCGGCCTGCTCCGTCTCTGCCGCTTGCCAGCTACGCCTCGGCCGGCGCAGGGGGCGGAACCACGCATGCGCGGTGCTCACGGGCAGGGAAAGTCCTTGACTTACGACCGGTTGGGTAGTCCTCGACTTACGACCGGTTTAGTCCTCGACTTACAAACCGGTTTAGTCCTCGACTTACGACCGGTTGGGGGTCGCGGCATTAAAAAGGTTGAGAACCACTGAACTAAGGCTATTGATGACTGTCCATAACACGAGAGAGGTGATGGAGAACATCTCGTATGACTTGTTTAACCAAATGGCTTCCTTTGTTTACTGGGGTAGGGGAGGACAAGTAGTCCTCAACTTAAGAACGGTTCACTTGGTTTGAAGTTACAACGGCATCGAAAAAAGGAACTTAACGACCATTTTCCAGCATCTCTCTCTGGTCGCATAATCAAAATCCGGACGCTTGACAAATGGCTCCTATTTATGATGGTTGCATTACTCAGCAAGTTACTGATTGCTAATGGGTGGCTGGACTGTCTGGAGAGCCCAAGATTGCCACAGACTGGGTGTTGTTGTTTTTTTAGTCCACGCAACAGAGAAATTAGACAAAAAAAATAATAATTTTGGAAGAATGTTGAAATGGAAGGGTTGGGACAGAGCTCGGAAACCACGTAGGGCTGTGATTTTCAAACTTGGGAAGTTTAAGATCTGTAGACTTCAACTCCCAGTATCCTGGCTGGGGCATTCCAGCTGGGGAATTCTGGGAGTTGAAGTCCATACGTCCTAAAGTTCCCAAGTTTGATAAACTTGGGTCTAGTCCAGGGGTAGGGAACCTTGGCTCTTTTATAACTTGTGGACTTCAAATACCCAGAATTCCTGAACCATCCCTGCTGTCTCAGGAATTCTGGGAGTTGAAGTCCACAAGTCATAAAAGACCCAAGGTTCCCTACCCCTGGTCTTGGCAGATTCAGGAACTGACTGTTAACAGCATCCTTGACAGATGCCACTCCGCTTCAGTGGAAGTGCTTCTAGCAAAGGAGAGTCCACCGTTTTTTAGTACCGTCTGCTTCATTGCTGAACAGCATCTTATCTTTAAGAAACTTCTCCAGATGTTCCATCAAAATGGAGCTCCTTGTATTTGAAGCTCCTCCTTTCTTTCCTTCTCATCTTCTGCAGTGACACTGGACAATACTGCCCTCTCTTCTCCAGGACAACCTTTTAGATGGTTGAAGACAGTTATTGTATTTCCTTGTGTTCTTCTCTTCTTTGCTCCTTCACCAGAAGCGTGCTTATTGTTAATTGTGTATTAATGGAGAAAACTTCTCCTGATCATCTTATTTGAGGGATTCACTCTTGGGCTACCAGAGAAGTCAACTTACAGGCTGTAGAAGAGGAAGAGTTACTAAGCTCCTCCTCCTCCTCCTCCTCCTCCTCCTCCTCCTCCTCCTCCTCCTCCCAATGTTTCCAAGCATGCCTTCCAAAAATGGGAAGGAGCCACATCCAGAGCAGAGACAACAGACAACCTCCTTAGATGGTGAATTATGTTGTGTTCCATCAGGAGTGATTTAACAGTTGAACCACACTCAGCGGAGAGAGATGGTAACAGAGCAATAAATCATAGATTGCATTCGTAGGGAGAGCTAAACTCAGTCTTAACCATGGCTGACTTGTTCTAGCTTACCGGGGTGCCAAGAAAGCCTCCTAATCATGGCCAGGGGTTTGTACAAAGAGTCACGCGGAAGTTGCTCTTAATTTGAACTTCCATTCACATTTTGATTGTTCATGTTTGTCGGCCGTGATTCATTAGTAGCAAAAGAGCCCTTGGAAGTCTAATGGAAGCTATGATGAATCATAGAATCCGAAGGGACCAGCCCCTCTGCTCAACACAGGAGACCTTATACTATCCTGGTCAAATGGTTGTCCAGTCTACTTTGAAGACCTGCAGTGATGGAGCATCCACAACTTCTGGTGGCAACTTCCGTTCCACAGATTAATCGTTCTCCCTGTTAGGAAATTTCTCCTTAATTCTAGATTGCTTCTCTCTTTAATGGTCTTTTACCCGTTGCTTTTTGTCCTGCCCTCACCTGCTTTGGGGAATAAGTCAATCCCCTCTCCTCTGTGACAGTCCCTCAAGTACTGGAAGACTGGATGACATCATACTCATCCTAACATGATTGGCATAGTAACACCCCTTGTCTCTTTACAACTCCAGTCTATATTGCCTTGCCCTTCCGGCCATTGTTCCCTCTGCGTGCCACTAACCAGGTCACCCAGATAAGCAGAGATTGACCCCAAGATTAACACTTGACCAACAATCCAGAAGTAAACAATACTCCAGTCAAGGAACTACCAGCCCAGACAAACAGTAAACAACAGCCTAATCAAGGCATCATCAAGAGCACTCCCACAAACCCTGACAGGGAACGCCACTTGTATATAAACAGATAGCAAACTCCACTCTTTTCTAGCCCTGATGATGTTACCTAGCTGGGTCATGAAATGTCTGCAAGAAAACCACCCAGCTCAGAGAGCACCAAAGACCCACAATCCTCCTCCTTCTCCTCCTGTTTTTTCCTCCTCCTCCTCTCCACAAACCCCACTGCCTTCTAACACGGATGATATTACCTAGCTGGGTCATGAAACGTCTGCAAGAAAACCACCCAGCTCAGAGAGCACCAAGGACCCCACAACCGGGCCAGTCTCTGAAAATGTAGGGTTTTATAGGACTGGGTTAGAATCCCTTTCCACCTGGTTCCTGAACAAGTCACTTTGAGTGGCAGCCTTTGGCCGCTCAGAAACGGGCGCTGAAATGGACCACCAAATTATAGTACAGGTGGTCCTCAACTTACAGTAATCTGTTTAGTGACCGTTCAGAGTTACAGCGACACTGAAGAAAGGAACTTAATGACCGTTTTTCGCCCTTTCAAAATTGAACGGCTACAACAGAGGGGGGGAGGGACAGGACATCATCTCTGTCCAGTCTACAACGCGGTCCTTTCAGCAGTTCCCAAGAAGGCTCCACACCCATTTGCACTACTCAGGTGACCCTGAGGACACAGGTAAACCTCCAAGTGGCCTCTAAAAGGATGCAAATGACCATCTGTCTGCAAGGAGTATAAATACTTCCATCCTTCAGAGCTGAAGAAGCTTCTGGGATGAGAAGCGAAACGTCTTCAAAGAAAAACAAGGAAGTCCTGAAAAAGCATCTTTGGGATAGTAATCTAGCAATAATCATGATATCCCCAGAGAATCTTCTGGACCACTTGGGAAGGAGGTTGATTGCTCTTCTCTGAAGAAGCCACTCTTCTCCCTCTCCCCACCACGGTGTGTGTGTGTTTTTCCAGTGAAAGGGACTGATGACATCACCCCCGTTGCCCGGACGACAGGTAAATAGCCCCTGGCAACGGGGGGGGGCTTCATTATAGAAATCCCAAGGCTTGTTTCCCAAGAGAAAGAAGTCCCGAAGTGGAGAATGTGATGCAACTTTTAAAAGCAGTGGAGCCCAGATCCTTTTTCGTCTCTCTTCCTTTTACCTCCATCTCCGCTTGATTCTAAGCCAGGATCGGCTCCAGGCGTCCCTTTTCTTTGTTTCCTGGAGGGCGTGTCTCCTCTCCAAGCTGGTTCTTGTCCTCCAAAACCCCGCAGGCACTTCATTCTTGAGTGCCTGCATCATCTTCTGTGGTTACCTTTGCTCCTCAGTCAGAATTCCCCAGACGACACGCTTGGGACGGACGCGTTCCGTTTGAAAGCCTGACGTTTTTCGCTCAGTCTGGTTTTCTCTCCCGAGCTGCTGATGGCCCTTCAGATGTTGAAACCGTGATCACATCTCCGGTCCACCTTCATGACGCCGGGCGAAGCATTCCTGGTTTCAAAATGGCTTTGCTTTGACTACTTTTCCATCGCTTGAGCCATCTTGAACTCGTTTCCAGAGATCCTAGGGCGGCAAGGGGACCGGGGAGGTCGTCTAGTCCAACCCCTCGCTCAAAGCCGGAGCCTTATGCCATCCTAGTCAAATGGAGGTCTGGTCTATTTTTGAAAAGCTCCAGCGATGGAGCACCCACAACTCCAGAAGGCAAGTCAGTTGTTCTCACCGACAGAAAAATTTCTCCGTGGTTCTAGATTGCTTCTCTGCTTGATTAGTTTCCATCCATTGCTTCTCGTCTGGCCTTCCAGCGCTTTGGAATAGAAGTTGACCCCCTCTTCTCTGTGACAGCCCCTCAAGTCCTGGAAGACAATTATCACACGTTTCCCCCCCTCCCAATCCTTCTCTTCAATAGGCGAGACCACGGGTAGGCAACCTTGGCTCTTTTATGACTGGTGGACTTCAACTCCCAGAATTCCTGAGCCAGCATGGCTCAGCATGGAAACCTCTCCATTTCTCCTCAGCGTGGCTGGCTCAGGAATTCTGGGAGTTGAAGTCCACGAGTCATAAAAGCATAGCACTGGAAGGGAATATGGAGCATTCGTCCTTATCCCAGACAAATGGCTACCCAATCTCTTCTTAAAAAAAACTTCCCCTCCCTGAATTTTGATCACATGACTTCCACACTGCCTGGGGGGCTTCTGGGAGTTGAAGTCCACCCGTCGTAAAAGTGATCCTGGCTTGAGAAACACCGACGTGCGACCGAAAGCACACTGGTCTCTCTTGTGTTGGCACTTTCTTCTGAGTCCCACCCAGGCTCCCTCCCTCCACCCTTTTCCTCTGGATCCCTTGTCTGTGTTATTCAAATAACACACACACACACACACCCATTCCTGGCGGGAATTTGGAAAGAGCTCCACCCGAGTTAACCACGATTTGGGTGGGCGGCACGTTCAGCGGTGGCTTCTCTTCTGCTTCAGAAGGAAACTAGCCAGACTTTGGTGCAGTGGGGGCCAAGTGGGGCTGTCTCCCCATTGCCAAGGGGTTTTGTTGGAGATCCCCATCCTCCGAGCTGCAGATAAATCCATTAAATCCCATTAAATCACACCTGGCTCTTGTTCAGCCCTTCTTGAGTTCTGTGTCCTAACGGTTGGCTTTTGGTTGGCTTTATCTATCTGTTGTGTGCTGATATTTTTTAAAAAGCCATGGTTTGTTTGCTAAAGCCCGGGAGACAGAGTTCCCACTTTATAGTTTTGCATTTAAGCGTGAGGTGGGTTCATGAAATTCCACGCGGGCAAGTGCATGGAATCACATGGGCTCTCTCTCTCTCTCTCTCTTTCTCTCTCTCTCTCTTTCTCTTTCTCTCTCTTTCTCTTTCTCTTTCTCTCTCTCTCTCTCTCTCTCTCTCTCTCTCTCTCTCTCTCTCTCTCTCTCTCTCTCTCTCTCTCTCTCTCTCTCTCTCTCTCTCTCTCTCTCTCTCTCTCTCTCTCTCTCTCTCTCTCTCTCTCTCCCTCTCTCTCTCTCTCTCTCTCTCTCTCTCTCTCTCTCTCAGGATTTCAGTTCTTGTCCTTCTTTCCTTCCTTCTGTCCTTCTCTGGTCTCTCTCTCTCGTTCTCTTTGCTTCCTTCTTTCTCTCCTCTTTCTCTCCCTTTTCTCCTTTTCTTTCCTCCGTTCTTCTCTTTCCTTTTCTCCTCTCCTTCCTTCCTTCCTTCCTTCCTTCGCTGATCTCCCTCCCTCCCTCCCTTTCTCTCTCTCTCTTGCTTCATTTCCCCCTCTCATCTATATTTCCTTTCCTCCCTTTTTCTCCTCCTTTCTCCCTTCTTTCCCTTCCGCCTTTCTTTCCTTACTTTTTCCTTTTCTTTCTCCGATCCTTCGCTCTTTCCTCCCTCCCTCCCCGTTTCTCTGATCTCTCTCTTCTTTCTTTCTCTCATCTTTCTTTCCTTTTCTCCTTTGGTCTCTTCCTTCCTTCCTTTTCCCTTCCCTTCTTTCTCTTTCTTTGTTTTCCCCTCCCTCCCTCCCTCCCCTTATTTCTCTCTTTGCTTCTTTCCTTTTCTCCTCTTTCTTTCCTTTTCAACTTTTCTCCAACCCTTCCTTCTTTCCCTCCCCTTCTTTTTTCTTTTTCCTTGTCCTTCCTTCCTCCTCTGATCCTTCTCTCTCCCTCTTTCCTTTTCTCCTTTCCCTCCCTCTCTTCCCTCCCCTTCCTCTCTTTCCCTTCTGCCGTTAATTCATCCAGTGACTTCCCAGCAGCCTCCCTCCAACAGGCGTAATGTTCTGGCATTGCTTACTTCCTGGAAGGACTCCAGAGACTTGGACCCAACCAGACGTCAAACTGTTAGCCAGGAATGATGGATAGTGGCGGGTCAGAGGCAAACTGCTTTGAATCCCCCCTCTCCTCTCTTTCTCCCTTCACTTCCCTCCCCCCTTCCCTAGTCCCCTTCTCTGGAAATCACCAGCTGATATTTCCCCCCCCCCACACACACACCCTTTCATCAGTTGGCCCAGGGCAAAACAAACTTCAGATCACAGGGAAGACCATGACTCAACAGCTGGAGATTGTTTAAAGGCAGCTGGGCAAGGCACGCAGCCTTTAGCCAAACAGACAGGCAACTAGCAAGGTTTCCATCCCGTGCCTGCCACAAACACGCATGTGTGTCTGTTGGAAACTCACTTCTGGAAACCAGAATTGCTGAAGAGAACAACTCGGGGAGATCTGATTGCATCTTCCAATATTTGAGGGGCTGCCACAGAGAGGAGGGGTTGATTTAGAACAATTAATCAGCTTAACAGCTGGCTTCCAGAGGTTGTGGGTGCTCCATCACTGGAGGTTTCCAAGAAGAGACTGGACAGCCACTTGCCCGGAATGATATAGGTCTTCTGCTTGAGCAGGGGGTTGGACTAGATGACTCCCCAAGATCCCTTCCAACTCTGTTACGCTTAAGCATCTGAAGGCAGGAGAAGACTGAATTCCAAATAGGTATTTTTTCAGCGTGCAGGGGAACAAACGTAAGAAAGGTTTACAGCTCTTAAAGCAGCTTGTTGTTGTTGTTGTTGTTTTCCTCCCCTCTGGAATTGTGCACCCATTGGCCTCCGCGTAAATTTAGGGAAGGATGTGGCTGTGTGAAACGTGGCAAATCAGTGCTACATTCACAAGCCTGGGAAAAAAGATGGGACCGCTTTAAGCGCGGTAGATAGGAGTTGTGTTTCCAGACCTGAAAAAGTCGCAGCTGCTTTAAAGCAGTGGTTCTCAACCTGTGGGTCGGGACCCCATTTGGGGTCGATCGACCATTTCACGGGGGTCGCCAAGCAAGGCTGTCCGCCATTTTTTTTGTCCGCCATTTTTTTTCCCTTTTCCGGCGGGTGCCTTACCTCCCTTGGGCTGGGCCAGCTGGTGGTCGGCCTGCTCCGTCTCTGCCGCTTGCCAGCTACGCCTCGGCCGGCGCAGGGGGTGGAACCACGCATGCACGGCGCTCCCGGGCAGGGAAAGTCCTCAACTTACGACCGGTTGGGTAGTCCTCGACTTACGGCAGGTTTAGTCCTCGACTTACGACCGGTTTAGTCCTCGACTTACGACCGGTTGGGGTCGTGGCATTAAAAAGGTTGAGAACCACTGCTTTAAAGAGTTGCGAACACGTGCTGCCTTTGTGATTACAGGAAAGGCAGTGGCCGTTTTAAAGAGTTGCGGTAGGTACATTCCAGCATCCGGTGGGGTTTGTTGTGCAAAGAACAGGGCTGTGCCTGTCGTGAAGCCACCCACTTAAGCTCGCAGCTCCCAGATGTCAGGCACATCCTGGCCTATAGCCTGGTTCAAGCATGCCGTCTGTTCCCATTTATTGACCGTGTTTCTCTTCTCTGTTTTTTTTTTTATAGACTCTCAGCGCTCTCATCTCTCTTCATTCACCATGAAGCTGAAGGACAAGTTCCACTCCCCCAAAATAAAAAGGACGCCCTCTAAGAAAGGAAAGCAGCCTGACCTAGTGGTGAAATCCCCCGAGAAGGTTGTGAACAAGGTAAACTGGCGGGTTGGTTGAGGCGTGCCTAGTTAAGGACAGGTAATCCTCCACTTAACGACCATTGTTGAGTCTGGAATTACGCAGGTTTATCTGAGCCCTCAGCGATTCTCAGAAAGAGTACTAACAACCAGATGAACTACAAGGAATACACATCCTTTTATTTTCCGCCGTAAAGTCAGAACCGAAGAAGCTTCTTGGATGAGTAGCGAAAGATCTTCCAAGAAGAACAAAGAACGCCCAGTTGCCTCCTGAAAAAAAGCACCTTTGGGACTTATATCTTCGTATCAGATGTTGAACGTAAGCTCATATTAGTGACGGCCATGTGAGGATCGTCCCTGTGGTTTCCTGCAAATTCTGAATAATCTGGGATAACCTCACTCACTCCTTTTGTGACCTTGCCGGATTCATTTAACGGTGGCAAGAGAATTCGTAAAATGGGTCAAAACCCACTTAACAAACATTTCACTTTGGAAACTTTGGGCTCGGTCGTGGCCGCAATGCCGAGGACTACCTGCATGGGATAAGACGTTTCTAGCCCTTCTCAGGATTTGGGGCTGTCAGAGAGACAGGGGGAAGAGTCGCGCTTTCAATCTCGCAAGATTCTTCTCACGTAAAACCTGAAAATAAAGCACAGTAAAATTTAGCGACTTGGTCGTGTGTCCTGGCTGGCTGGTCTCCCTCGCAGGGCTGACGAAAGAGGAAGTTGTCTTTTGTCACCCTTTCTTGACACCGGTATGTTTGTGGAACACGGGGTCAGAAGCCAGATCACCCTTTTGCAATTTCCTCCATCCCTCTTCCCTGGCCTGGGGTTGTTTCAGGACACGCAACTATTACTCTCTCTCCCAGACGGATTGGTGCCTTTTCAACAAAAGGAGCCAGATATGTGCAGTTGGTTTTGTATTATTTGCGTAGGCCATTAGAGCATTGCGACCTCTTGAAAAACAGCTTGGGTTGTCAAAGAAGGGTGCAGGTCACTGCCTTCCATCTACAGTACTTGGAAAATGAACTGGGTGTTGTGCCTTCAGTAAAAATATACCCCAGCGGGATACAAATCGTTAAAAAATTGAATCGCCTTAATTGGGAAGGGTTTGTTTTCTTTGCAAAAAGGTTTCTAGAAGTTTATGGAGATTCTCAGTCATCCAGGTCATGGTTGTCCCCGAGGTGCTTTTTCACAAGGCAACTGGACTTTGTTTTTCCTTGAAGCCGTTTCGCTTCTCCTCCAAGAAGCTTCTTCAGGACTGACTGAATGGTGGAGGATGGAAGGATTTATATTCCTTGCAGTCATCTGGTCATTAGTACTCCCTCTGAGAGTCATTGAGGCCACCTGGAGGTTTATCGGTGCCCTCGGGGTCACCTGAATAGCGCAAATGGGTGTGGAGCCTTCTTGGAACTGCTGAAAAGACTTGTGTTGTAAACAGGAGATAGTTGGTGTCGTATCCCCCTCCCCCCGTTGAGAGAGGGCTGTTCAATCTGATTATAGGTGGGCCTCTTTGACCCCTCTTTCAAACCAGCGGTCCTCTCTGTCCAGAAAGAGTTTCTAGAAGTAGCTTTACATCTGAAACAGAAAATGTTGGGGTACGGCGAGCCCAGAGCTGCTGGGTTTCGGGCATCTGAAAACCTGATGGGAATTATATTTTCTGGGTTCAGAATGGGACACTTTGGATTTAGAACAATTTGACAATAGATAGAATAGATGGATGGAGGGATGGAGGGAGGGAGGGAGGGAGGGGTGGATGGATGGATGGATGGATGGATATATAAAATGAATGGATAGATGGATCAATGATGGATGGGTGGGTGGGTGGGTGGATGGAGTGTAGGTGGATGGATGGATGATGGATTATATAAAATGAATGTGTAGATGGATCAATGATATGATGGGTGGGTGGATGGGTGGGTGGATAGATAAATAGATGACTAGATATAAAATGAATGGGTAGATGGATTAATGATTGGATGGATGGATGGATGGATGGATCAATAGATACATAAAATGAATGGGTAGATGGATGAATAATAGGATAGATGGATGGATGGACAGATATAATGACTGGATGGATGAATAGACAGACAGAATGAATGGGTAGATAGATGGATGGATAAACAGAATGAATGAATGGAGGCGGGGAAAATGATTTGCATATTCATGCTATTCGATAGGAACTTTGCTAAAAATGCTCTTTCTGTCTCAGAACTTGAGTTGGCTGGAAGAGAAAGAGAAGGATGTAGTGAGCGCCCTGCGTTATTTTAAGACCATCGTGGACAAAATGGCCATTGATAACAAGGTGCTGGAGATGTTGCCAGGATCTGCCAGCAAAGTTCTGGAAGCCATCTTGCCTCTGGTTCAGACGGACCCACGGATTCAGCAGAGGTGAGTCGTGACGTGACGTGTTGAGTAGTTGGATTGAGAGTTTGGTACTAGGTGGGTAAGTCCTTTCCCCCCGAAGTCTGCAACAGAGATTGGGGTGCTCATTGTGTAGGTTGGGTAGTCATTTCTTCTAAAGATTAGGATGAATGGTTGAGGGAGATTAGGGGGGGATATGACAAATGTCTTCCCGTACTTGAGGGACTGTCATAGAGAAGAGGGGATTGACTTATTCTCCAAAGCTCCTGAGGGCAGGACACGAAGCAATGGGTAGAAGCTTGTTAAGATCCAACCTAGAAGTTAGGAGAAATTTTCTGACCATCAGAACATCATAAAATTCTTGTCCTTCTCAATTGAGAAGAAGGATTGAGGTGGCTGCTTCTGGTAGACCAACCAAGGTGAAGGTTGACTCTCTCGTGTGGCTGGACTATGGCTCTGGATCATTCCCATTAGACAGGCCAGATGTGTGGAAGAGTCATTGAATAACATCTGGAGCACCAGAGGAAATCTTTCCCTAGTCACTCAAGTCTCCCTTGACCAAGCTCAACTCTTGGTGGCTTCATGGACAGGAGGGTTTCTTGGCAACAATAAATGGTTTACCATTCTCTTCCTCCTGGATGTGTTTTCAACTTGTCCATCTAGCTCAGGGGTCTTCAAACTTGGCCCTTTGATGACTTGTGGACTTCAACTCCCAGAATTCCTCAGCCAGGCACGCTGGCTGAAGAATTCTGGGAGTTGAAGTCCACAAGTCATCAAAGGGCCAGGTTTGAAGACCCCTGATCTAGCTCATCACTCTTAGGTTTCCTTGTAGATACTCATCCAAGGACTAGCCAGGCCCAATCCTGCTTAGCTAAGGATCAGCCAAGGTTGGGGCGTCATCTCCTCCATGTAGTTTTCTGGAAGTAGTTTATTGTTACTTTCTTTGGGGATATTTTTTCAACTTCCTCGTCCAACCCCAAAATTTCCTGATAGTCTCCCATCCAGGGATTGACCCTACTTCCTGAGACCAGCCGAGTGGTGCCCTCTGCTGTTGCTGCCTTGCCTTGCATGCCAGTGTATAAATTCAGAAAGTTGACACCCATTAAAATTGGGAGGTGTTACAAATGCAGATATACAAGTGCATGGATAGTTGATCTGGGACCAATTAGGGTTACTTTTGGGGATAATCTGGGATTGAAGCTGCGATAAATCTTTTACGAGTTGGATTACAACAGCAGTTTGTTAACAGGGTTTGGGAATTTAAATCTGGTCTTTTATTGTTACTTTACTACTTTAAACTTTTATATCGTATTTTTATTGTTGTTGTTTTCCCCATTTTGTTACGAATGCAATATATAGATGACCGGTAAGCAATTTGTAAACAGATTTAATAGTTTAGTAGTTTTAAAATTCTTTGGCCTTTTTTTTTTTTTTTTTTGCAAGGGTGGGAAACTTTTATATTAATCAGCATTCAATTAGGGAGGATGCTATATGTATCTCTTTTTTTTCTAAGACACTTTAATGGATCTTTGTTGCGTTATTTTCTTCTTTTGTTTTCGTTTTTGTTAAAAATACGTTGGTGTTTTGCATTTTAACTTTCTTTGAACAAACTAAATGTTATGCAAAAAGAGAGGGAGAGAGAGAGGGGGAATTAGAAATATAGAGAGATAAAGACAGAGATAAGAAAGAGTGGGAGCGAGAGAGAGAGATAATAGAGAGAGAGAAAGAGAGAGTTGATACAGAGATAGAAATAAAGATATAGATAGATAGATAGATAGATAGATAGATAGATAGATAGATAGATAGATAGATAGATGGATGGATGGATGGATGGATGGATGGATGGAGGGAGGGAGGGAGGGAGGGAGGGAGGGAGGGAGGGAGGGAGAGAGAGAGAGAGAGAGAGAGAGAGAGAGAGAGAGAGAGAGAGAGAGAGAGAGAGAGAGAGAGAGAGAGAGAGAACTACCTCTATAAAGGAATTAATGTTTAGCAGCAGTGCATGGCTCATTTCTGACCCTTAATAACTTAAGCCAAGTCTCTCCACCTCTTCTTCCTTCTAACTTCTTCTTCTTCTTTCACTTCTGCAGTTCTGCCATCACTTCCTGTTACAGCCGAGTGTATCAGAGCTTGGGAAATTTGATTCGGTGGTCCGATCAGGTGATGCTCGAAGGCATCAACTCTGAAGACAAAGAGGTGGTGAACACAGTCAGGGGGGTTATCAAGGCGGTTCTGGATGGAGTTAAGGTACGGGCTCTACTCGGGGTGTTCCCTGAACCCCTTGTAAAGTTAGTCCTCCAGTGTGCCGAGAAGAGTGACAAAAGTAATGAAGGATCTGGGGGCTAAATTGTATGAAGAAGGGTTGAGGGAACTAGTGTCTCTAGCCTAACGAAGAGAAGGACTACGGGGGGACATGATAGCATCTTCCAATACTTGAGGGGCTGTCACAGAGAAAGGGGGGGAGGACTGACTTGTTCTCCAAGGCACCTGAAGGCAGGACAAGAAGCAACAGATGGAAACACACCCTCCCCCTCCCTCTCTCCTCCTCTTCTCCGTCCTTCTCCTCCACTCACAAACCCCACTCCCTTCTAGCACTGATGATGTTACCTAGTTGGGTCATGAAATGTCTGCAAGAAAGCAACCCAGCTCAGAGAGCACCAAAGACCCCACTGTCATCCTCCTCCTCCTCCTCCTCCCTGTAAACTCCACTCCCTTCTAGCACTGATGATGTTACCTAGTTGGGTCATGAAACGTCCGCAAGGAAACCACCCAGCTCAGAGAGCACCCAGGATCCCCTCTTTTCAACCCCGAGCTACAAAGATTCCCCTTTATTGTAAGGCATATTCAGTTCCCATTTTCTTTCCCAGTATTCCGTTTGTGCCAAAGGTGGCTTATATTTTAGCTATAGTGTGTTCTGTCTGTTAGTGTGCAGCAACAAACCTGGGTCCCCTTAAAAAAAGAATTTGCGCTGTGGCTTGGCTTCTTCTGAAAGCTGGACCAACAGATCGGATAAGACACCGAAAAGCTGCTAGGTTAAACCAGATGGTTTATGTTACCAGCCGATTTCTTCCAAACAAGCCAGGAGTTGCAAGATGAGAACAAACCACGTTTGCAATTCTAGCGAGTCCACAGCACAGAAGCTGTGGTTTGAACGTTTTCCTAAACTTTCCTTTAGCTGCTTTTGGGGTGGGCCGTCGTTTAAATAGGGAATAAATAAATGAGTTTTGAAGGAGAGAGAGAGACAAGAAATGAAGGTGTTTTTTGGGCAATAAGATGAATGCAAAAAATGTATAATTTTTTTTTGTGTGTGTGTGTTGTGTTTTGTTGCTAATCAGGAGCTGGTGAAACTCACAATTGAGAAGCAGGAACACCCATCTCCCACCAGCCCAGTCAAGCCCACCTTACCTGTGTCTACAGCAGACAGGTGAGTAGCCATTTCTGGTGAAGGTTGAGATGTGCATCATCCGGTGTGATGATGCAGCCTCCTCAGTGTTTGTGACCCACGGTTCTCCCCTCTCCAGCCAGTTGGAGCTTCCCTTGACGGATCGTGAGATGGAGATTCTCAACAAGACGGCCGGGATGACGCCGAGCACAGAAGTGTTGCCAGATGCCCCGGACGAAGAGATTGCCCCACCGAAGCCCCCACTTCCTTGCATCCGGGTCCCCGAAAACAGGTAAACACGTCTCTAAGAGGTCAAACACTGCCCTTAAGCCACCGGAAAAAAGTGACTTATGCCCATTTTTCACGCTTACGACCGCTGCAGCCGCCTCTCCACGATCACGTGAACAAAATTGGGAGGCTTGGCAACTGGCATGTACTTAGGATGGTTGCTTTGTCCTGGGGTCACGTGATTCCCCTTTGGCGACCTCCTGACAAGCACAGCCAATCGGGAAGCCGGATCCGCTTAACGACCATGTTACTAACTTTACAACTGCAGGGATTCTCTTAACCCCCGTGGTAAGAAAGGTCGTAAATTGGGGGGCAAACTCACTTAACAACCTGCCTTGATTAGCAACGGAAATGTGGTTGTAAGTCCACGGTGTACATGTAATTGTAACCGATTCCCCAGGCACCGTTCTGTCTCTGTTTTAAGTTTTTCTTCGTCTTATGCAGCCTTCCGCCAGCCTTGCCTCCCAAGAAGCGTCAGTCGGCACCATCTCCTACGCGCGTGGCTATCGTGGCCCCCATGAGCCGAACGACCAGTGGCTCCAGTTTGCCCATTGGAATCAACAAACAGGTAAATTACCAGCCGTATCCACCCAGGAGCTGTCGGGATAGGATGGTGTGTCCATTAGTACAGGCAATCCTTGACTTGCAGTTCATTTAGTGACTGTTCGAAGTTGCAAAAAGGGATTTAGGACTATTTTTCCAAGTTTAACGACCGTTGCAGCCTCCCCGTGGCCACGTCATCAAAATTCAGAGGCTTGTCAACTGACTCGTATTTATGACGATTGCAGTGTCACATGACCCTCTTTTATGAACTTCTGGCAAACAAATAGGGAAGCCAGAGGGACTTCATAACCGTGTGTCTAACTTAACTTTGGTGATTCACTTAAAACTCTGGCAAAATGGGGCAAAACTCACTTATCAACCGTCTCGCTTAGCAACAGAAATTTTGAGCTCAATTGTGGTCGTTAAGTCAGGGACTACCTGTACAGAATCCAGGGGCCAAACTTGGAGATAGGTATAAAATTGAAGGTCACCTCCAACTGCCCGTAATTCCAAAAATCACAACTTCCTTTCTGGATTCAGACATTTAAAAGGTACCTCTCCGTTGCCCCGTTCCTAAAGAGAAGATCGAAGAGCGTCGTCAGAATATCCACCCTGTTTAATTCCAAGATGGGTTGTTTAAAAGAGGTGGACTTTACCTGTATCTTCTTCTCCTTCCGACCCGCAGGAATTTGAAAACGATTGCTACCCCCAGCGGAGGCTCTCGGGGGGCAGCCAGTCCTACGGAGGGGAATCTCCCCGCCTCTCGCCGTACAGCAGCATGGGGAAGTTGAGCAAATCAGATGAGCAACTGTCCTCGTTGGATTGCGACAGCGGGCAGTGCTCGCACAACACAAGCTGTGAAACGTTAGGTAAGGAGATGGGGTGTCTCTGCTCAGCCGGGCTCTGAAAGACCGGTTCCACGTGTGAAGATCCAGTTAAGCTGATTGATTGCCAAACAGTCTGTGCCCAAGAATCACTGCACTTGGTTACAGTTAGATAAGGATCCACAGAATTCAAGGGAAGTTAGTTCACTTGTGACTACAAAAGGATTCTAGGCTGATTCCTCTTTTTGACTCCACCCCTAGGTTCTACCGCTCCTCCATGCAAGCGACACCGCCCAAACTCTACACAAATACGGTTTCCAAACCACCGGAAGTAAATGTGACCTTCCCCTCTGCATTAGTCAATCCCTTTCCTCCACACCAAATAAAGTCCAGGGTTTCCAGCTCTGTGGTTCTGTTCTTCGTATCATTTTTTCCTCTCTCTCTCTCTCTTTCCTGCAGATCATTACGATCCTGATTACGAGTTCTTGCAGCAGGATCTCTCAAACACGGACCAGATCCCCCAGCCAGGACTTGGCGTGCTCAGCCCTTTACCGGAGGGCCTGCGGGAAACTGCCTCTCCATTCCTCAGACAATCTTTCCAGCTTCCGGAGAATTGTATCTCCTCAACCGCTGCGCCGGATCTGCGCGAGATCCCGCCAGCTCTTCCGGAGAAGAAAAGGAGAGGAACGGCGGCGTCTGCTTTTGACGTCTCCGGCTGTCGGGTCCTCCTGGAGAGGCACCCTTCGCAGTACGACAACATTTCCGAGGAGGACTTAAGCGTCCCGCCGCTGTTGCCCTGGGTCTTCACCCCTTTTGCGGCTGTCCTGCCCTATCAGCCTGGAAAGACGGCACCCCCTGTTGAATTCCTTGCTGATTTCTCCAGTCCCAACGCACCCAGGGAATCCGAGGAACCCCCACCGCTGCCGGAGAAGAAAAACAAACACAGTAAGTGCTCCCTTGATCTTTTTTCTTTAAAACGTAATTTTATTTAAAAGGTTCAAAAAGAAAGATTAACAGCTCGGAGGAAGTAATAGCTAGGGTAAAGAAAAGAGAGAAGAAAAGAGAAAAGACAAAGTATAGGAAAAGAAGAAAATATAAAGAAATGCCTTCTGATTTCCTTCCTTCCTTCCTCTTTTCCTTCTTTTTTCCTTTCCTTCCTTTCCTCCTTTTTCCTTCCTTCCATCCCTCCTTCTTTTCCTTTCCTTCCTTTTTCCTTTCCTTCCTTCCTTCCTTCCTTCCTTCTGTTTTTTTCTTTTCTTTTTTCTTTTAAAAACCACAACAGGAGAACTTTCTCAGCCCTGCAAAATGTCTTTCTTTCTTTCTTTCTTTCTTTCTTTATTTCCCATTTCACCACCCAAGCATCTCTGGCTTATTAAATAAGCAGCTTATAGCAGTCATAGGTACAGCTATAAATTAAATTCTTACTCCACAGTTGCAGCGTGACTTACATTTTTCTACCGGCTATTGTTTTTCCTCAAAATTTCATTTTTATTTTTTGTTTGGTACGAAAAAAAGCTACAAGGAGTTTCCAGTCGGTACTAAACTTAGATAACTCGCCACGCTGAGTTTCTCTTCTACTTTCCACCATCGGACAGCAGGTTTTTCAAAGCCCCAAACTTCCTGCCTGTTGCATGTCTCCAAACCACAACAGGGGAACTTCCCCCACCCCTGCAAAATTAAACTAATGTATGATTCACCAAGATCTGAGTGGTTATCTAAACGCTGACAGGCGTAAAAACCAGTGGTTGGCTTTTAAAGAATTTCCATCTCAAGAAACATGAAGATTATATGATTACCAAGGTCATTTAAAAAAAACAAAACAAAATGTTGGTTTAATGTCACTTTCTGCACATTTTCGGTTCCCAAATTTGCTTCTCCCCTTCCTGTCTAGCTGCTGGTTTAATCACATGGCGACTCTCACTTCATCCTGGTTTATTCAGATGCTTGCTCAGCATTTTGTGGATAATCACACCAAAAGAAAAAAGAAAAAAAGGGAACAGGAAAATGTGGGCATCTCTTTTTAGAAGTCCAGACGAGAATTTTATCCTCTGGGTTAAGAGTTGAGCAATTGAGAGATATTTACATTGGGCTAGTTGTGTTTGATTCGCATTTATTATTATTATTATTATTATTATTATTATTATTATTATTATTATTATTATTATTATTATTATTATTATTATTATTATTATTATTATTATTATTATTATTATTATTATTATTATTTAGATTACTTTGGCTCTTGGTTTGATCTGGGCTTCAGGCAGAGAAAGACCCCAACCACTCCCTACCAATGGAAGAGAATATTTGTAGCTCAGTGGTGGTGCTCTGTGAATCTGGTTGTTTTCTTGAGGACATTTCATGACTCAACTAGATAACATCATCCATGCTAGAAGGGAGTGGGGTTTGTAGAGAGGAGGAGGAGGAGGAGGAGGAGGAGGAGAACTGTGGGGTCCTTGGTGCTTTCTGAATCTGGTTGTTTTCTTGCAGACGTTTCATGACCCAACTAGGTAACATCATCAGGACTAGAAAGGAGTGAGGTTTGTTCTCTGTTGTATATAAACAGTGCTGGTGGGAGCGATCTTGGTTGGTCCTTGATTAGGCTGTTTATTGTTAGCTTCTTTATCTGAGTTGGTAGTTCCTTGATTGGCATATGGTTTACGTCTTGATTGTTGACCTAACATTAACCTTGGTGTTCATCTCTGCTCATCTGGATGTTGATTTGCTGATAAGATACTTTGATCTTTTTGTTTCCTTTTTGATTGTCTCCTTTGAAGGGTGTCTAGAAGTTGTTTGCCTGTTGATGGCTGATCAACAGGGTTAAGCTTCCAGGATCTCCCTAGTGGTTTTGGACTTGACTTGGTCTAGGACAGTGGTTCTCAATCTGTGGTCCACAAACCCCTCGGGGTGCGATGTCATCATATAGGGGATCCATAAAGGCTTGAAGAAATGTTACGAAGTCTTGGGGATCCATAGCCCTGGTCCATAGCCCCAAAAGGTATTTAAAAGGGGGGGTCCGTGGTGAAGAGAAGGTTGAGAACCACTGGACTAGAAGATCTTCACAGTTTCCCAGTTTGAAATAGGCTTCAACCTTCAAAGTTTTCTTCTTAATTTCACATCGGTCTTCTGTGCCTGTCTGAATCCATCCAGCCTAACAGGAGACAGGAAGAGCGAGAGATGGTTCCTCCGAGCATCCCACCAAGAAGGTGACCTCCACATGTCCATTGTCTCTTCCAGTGTTGGCCTACATGCAGTTTGTAGAAGACTACTCTGAACCTCAGCCTTCCATGTTCTACCAAACCCCGCAGAACGAACACATCTACCAGCAGAAGAACAAGCATCTCATGGAGGTCTATGGCTTCAACGACTCTTTCAGCAGTGCAGACTCTGGCCAGGATCTGGCCCCCCCACCGGCTCTCCCCCCCAAACAGAGACAACTGGTAAGTCCTGTTTATTTATGGTTCTGCTCCATCTTGGTTGAGTTCCTTCTTGCCCATCCTGGGAAAATGAGATGTTTGTGGTCCACATTCCAGCGTGATTATTTTGAGTTTGGGACTTTGTTTTGGGAAGGCGGGGTGAGTTCTGTTTTATTATGCTTTATTTATTTGTTTTTAAAACCAATTTGATTAATTTTCCAATTTTACAAAGCTCCAAGTGTTAAGGAAGCAACATGGTGATTGGGTAGTCCATAATCAAATAACAAGCTCTTTCATACATATGTTAGGTTACATCATCAAACGTTTCCTCTCTATTTCCCTTAGTTATTGTATCACATTCAAATTAATACATTGCTAATTATAACTCAGTCGGTTAAGACATTTATCAATATTTTTTAAACTTATACGCCTTCATGTCCTGTTTTTGAAATTTTACCTAATTTCAATTACAGTATTCCAGTTAGCTTAATATCCATAGTCTTTAGGTTTTGGGTAGCCCAAACTACCCACACTTCCCTTAGTTGATTACAAAATAATTGCCATATCTAAAATACATTTATTGTTTACTCAGATCAATTCTTACTTTATTTCACAAACATATTCTATTTCTCATCCGAATACCTCATCACTTACTAATAAAATACAAGAAGCAATGGATGGAAACTAAGCAAGGAGAGAAGCAACCTAGAACTAAGGAGAAACTTCCTGACAGTTAGAACAATTAACCAGTGGAACCACCTGCCTCCAGAAGCTGTGAATGCTCCAACACTGGAAGTTTTTAAGAAGAGACTGGACAGCCATTTGTCCGAAATGGTGTAGGGTTTCCTGCCTGAGCAGGGGGTTGGACTCGATGACCTCCAAGGTCCCTTCCAACTACTACTACTACTACTACTACTACTACTACTACTACTACTACTACTACTAATTATTATTATTATTATTATTATTATTATTATTATTATTATTATTATTATTATTATTATTATTATTATTATTATATTCTATTTCTCATCCTAATACCTCATCACTTACTAATAAAATAACCTTTATCATCTCAACCCAACTTCTATATTATAATCCAAGGCTATTATTCTAGTGACTATTTTTTTTTTATTTCCCTTATTGATCTAAACCCTAAATATTAAATCAATTAGTATCTTTTATTACGCTTTATTGTATTGAATGTTCATAGCCCATCCACAGCTGGTGCCTTCTTCCAAGTTCCAACTCCATAACAGACACAGAACGTAGAATAATAGGGTCGGAAGGGACCTTGAAGATCTTCTAGTCCAATCCATGCAAAAGGCCATTATGGACAAAGGGCTGTCCAGTCTCTTCTTGAAACCCCCCCCCACCTTCCGGAGGGAAGCCGCAAGCGGAGATTAAACCCAGTTGCGATTCCAATTGTAACACAAAGGATCCTGAAGACCAGAATCCAGAACAATTCACAGATCCCAGGAGATCCTCTTGAAATGCTTCTGAACCTGGAGAAGTCAACTTTGATTCTACAAAGTGAAACAAGCAAGCTTTGGATGGTGACAAGCACCAGGATGTAATTAACCAGGGGGTTGGTGGTGGTTGGTATTCCGTGACTCAGTTTCCCCAGCGATGTGCTCTCGCCGTAAGCATTTTGTTCCTCTGTTTCTTTTCTCGCCTTCTAAGGACTGCCTGCAGCTTCCCCTGCCTTCCTTTTCTCTTTTATTCCATTTGGGTTTTGGATTTTTTGTTTGTTTGTTTCTTTTTCTGATTTCAATAATTTTTTCCCCTTTTTTTTTTTCGGGAAAGAAAACCAGATCCTTAGCCGTTCCCTTCTCCTCTCTCGCCACGTTTTTTTTTTAGAAAGCAAATATTAAACAATCCGTCTCTTTGCCTGAGTTTGCCGGTTTCCGACTGTCGGACGTACAGGCAGCCCTCGACTTGCGAAACCAAAATTGTGAGCAAGGTTTCTGCGGCTTGTCTGCACCCGTCATAAGTATGAGTCAGTGGCCAAGCGTCTGAATTTGGATCACGGGACAGCGGGGGATGCTGCGAAAAGCAGTCGCAGGTCCCTTTTCCCCCCAATGCCGTTGTAACTTTGAACCATCACTAAACGGACGGCTGTCAGTCAAGGACCGCTTGTAACGGGTCTCCTGCTTGAGCAGGGGGTTGGACTAGAAGACCTCCGAGGTCCCTCCCAACCCGGTCATTCACGGCCACTAAATGGACTGTTGTACGTCGAAGGCTGCCTGTGTTTGGATAGAAAAAGAATCCGGCATCGTAGGCTCGGAAGGGGACCTTAGAGGTCCTCTAGCCCACCACCCCAAAGCAGGTGCTGGGTTTATCTCTCACCGATGGAGGTTGTTCTTCTTCCTTTCGTCTTTCTTCCTCTCCCTTCTTCTTTCTCTCCTTCCCACAGGCTTCTTTCGCTGCTCCCTTCTCTTCTGTCTCCTACTGTGTCCAGCCACCTAAGGGCCCCCTGGCCTCCGAGGAGGTCTGCCCCGGCCAGGGTCTCAGCGTGTCCGTCTCTAACTCCTTCCTCCAGCAGACTAGTTCCTTTCCCGCGCACTCGGTGAGTTACTAACGGGAACCTTTCCTTTCGCAGCTTGCTTCCTCTCGCTCTTTTTAAAATATATATATATTTATTCATTTATTTATTCATCACGAAAGAAGGCGAATCGCCAGGAGCCTCGTGTAGCTACTTATATAACCACCCCCTCCACTCTCTAGCACTGTTGATGTTCCAATACAAGAGACCATTTGTGAACTGTGGGGTCCTTGGGGCTCTCTGAGCTGGCTGGATTTCTTGCAGACGTTTCATGACCCAACTGGGGAACATCTTCAGTGTTAGGAGGGAGTGGGGTGCGTGGAGTGGAGGAGAAGGAGAAGGGGGGAGGAAGAGGGGGGGAGGAGGACTGTGGGGTCCTTGGTGCTCTCTGAGCTTGGTGGTTTTCTTGCAGACGTTTCATGACCCAACTAGGTAACATCATCAGTGCTAGAAGGGAATAGGGTTGTGGAGAAGAGGAGGAAGGAGGAGGAGGACTGGAGGGTCCTGGGTGCTCTCTGAGCTTGGTGGTTTTCTTGCAGACGTTTCATGACCCAACTAGGTAACATCATCAGTGCTAGAAGTGAGTGGGGTTGGCAGGGAGGAAGAGGAGGAAGGGAGGAAGAGGAGGACAATTGTGGGGTCCTTGGTGCTCTCTGAGCTTGGTGGTTTTCTTGCAGACGTTTCATGACCCAACTAGGTAACATCATCAGTGCTAGAAGTGAGTGGGGTTGGCAGGGAGGAAGAGGAGGAAGGGAGGAAGAGGAGGACAATTGTGGGGTCCTTGGTGCTCTCTGAGCTTGGTGGTTTTCTTGCAGACGTTTCATTACCAAACTAGGTAACATCATCAGTGCTAGAAGGGAGTGGGGTTTGTGGAGGAGGAGGAGGAGGAGGAGGAGCAGCTTAGTAGCTCTTCCTCTTTTACAGCCTGTAAGTAGACTTCTCTGGTAGCCCAAGAGTGAATCCCTCAAATGTTTCCACGCAGACATTTCATGACCCAACTAGGTAACATCATCAGTGCTAGATGTTCTCCTTCAAACTTGAAAGCAGGTAGTAAGGCAGAGGTCGACGAGGTCCGTGATTCCGACGACTTCAATCTTGGTGTGTGTGTGTGATTAGATCAGGTCTCCTCTCTTGAAATGAGTTTTGCCCCACATTATAGCCATTTTACAACATTTTTTTAAAAAAAATTGGCCACTGTTAAGCGAATGGCTGCAGTTATTAAGTCTGAAGATAATCTCCGCGGTCATGTGGCCAGCCTGGCTATAGGCCAAAGGCGCACGGGACGCTGTTACTTCCTCACCGAAGTGGTACCTATTTATCTACTCGCAGTTCGAACTGCGAAGGTGGGCAGGAGCTGGAGCGAGGAACGGGAGCTCGCCCCATCGCGAGGCACTCGGGTCTTGTCCCCTTTTCCAGCTGACCAGCTGAGTGTCTTTAACCACTGTGCCGTGGCCCTACTGTGTACATTGTTCTAATTTCTTTTCTCTGTCTTTTTCTCTCCTCTCCTCCCCTCCTCTTCTCCCGCTCATCTCCTTCCCTCCCGCCCCAATTCTATCCTTTCTCGTTGACTTGGCGCCGTCCCCCCCTTCCACGTCATCCACCTCGTCCCGTCTTCCCAGTACAAATCGGTCTTCAGGTCTTTCTCCCAAGACTTCCTGCCTCGTGGCCAAGTCCCCGTCCTCCCTCCCTTTCTTTCGCCGACCGTGGCCACTACCTCCTCTCCTCAGACCTTTCCACCTGCACACCAGGCTCCGATCTCCGACCCGGCGGCAGCGCCAGCCACGTCTGGCCAGCCCCTCGGCACCATGGAGCGGCCATCTTCTTGTTCTTCCTCTTCTTCCTCCTCCTCCTCCTCTTCTTCTTCTCAAGACAGCAGCATAACCAAGACTGTTTCTGTCTCACTTTCTCTCACCGAATCTCTCCGGAAGTCTTCGGTGAGAACCCGGATGGGGGCCGTGGGGAGGGCAGCCCAGTTTTAGCTGGCTTAGCTTTCTGTGGGCAATTGGGACACCGAGCGAGGTAGTCCTCAACGTACGACCACAGTTGAGCCCAAAATTTCCGTTTGCTAAGCGAGACATTTGTGTGAAGTGAGCTTTGCTCCATTTTAGCATCTCCCTTGCCACCGTCCTTAAGTAAATCACTGCAGTTGTTAAATTAAGTCACCCAGCTGCCTTTCATGGCTAAGGCCGGGCTAGAACTCACCGTCTCCTGGTGATTGGCCCAAAGTCACCCAGCTGGCTTTCGTGGCTATGGCGGGACTAGAACTCACTGTCTCCTGGTGATTAACCCAAAGTCACCCAGCTGGCTTTCACGCCTAAGGGCAGAACTAGAACTCACTGTCTCCTGGTGATTGGCCCAAGTCATCCAATTGGCTTTCATGCATAAAGTGGTACTAGAAGTCATTGTCTCCTGGTCATTGGCCCCAAATCATCCCGTCGGTGTTCATGCCTAAAGTGGGACTAGAACTCCCCATCTCCTGGTGATTGGCCTGGAGTCACTCAGTTGCCTTTCGTGGCTAAAGCGGAACTAGAACTCACCACCTCCGGCTTAAGCAGTACACCAAACTGGTTCTGTTAATATTAAAGAGTTAGCCCTTTTGGTCTGCCATCTCCAAATAGCTAGAGCATGTTCAGGAGCCCATCTCGGGCCACCTGTCCCATCGTGCTTTGCTGAGGGTGCTGCCTTCCTCCTGCCAGGTGGGGATCACCCCTTTGCCTCCCTTCCCTTCTGTCTCTGTAGAGTGACAACGTTGGCGCGGCGGCAGGGGAGGGTGAATACGTCAATCTCTATTCCTCGGGTCAAAGCAATGGGGAGCTTCTCCCTTCCTACTCTGAAGGAGTAAGTAAAACCAGGAGGAGCATCGGCAATGGCTCGGCATGCCTACTGGGAAGGAGTAGCAGGGAAGCTGTGGGTCTGGTTTCTCCCCCCTGCCAGCATTCAGGACCTGAACTCTTGTGTATAAACAGGGAGCAAGTCACACTCAGTAGCACTGAGGGTGTTACCTAGTTGGGTCATGAAACGTCTGCACGGAAACCACCAAGCTCAGAAAGCATCAAGAACTCCCCAGTGTTCTCCTCCTCCTCCTCCTCCTCCCCTCCTCCTTCCCCCTCCTCCTCCTCACAAACCCCATTCCTTTCTAGCATTGATAACGTTACCTAGGTGGGTCATGAAACGTCTGCAAGGAAACCACCAAGAGCATCAAGGACTCCCCAGCGTTCTCTTCCTTCTCCATGTCGTCTCCTCCTCCTCCTCCTCCTCCTCCTCCTCCCCCTCCT